CGGGGCCGTCCCTCAGCGCCGGCGCCTCCGGCCCACGCGGATCCCGCGGCGGGGCCGGCCCGAGCGCGCTCCGAGGCTACCGTGGGACCGTGGCTGCTCGCCCATTGGCTCCCGCCTCACGGGCCCGCTCGCCCATTGGCTCCTGCCTCACGGGCCCGCTCGCCCATTGGCCCCTGGCGCACGGGCCCGGCTCGCCCACTCCTTTGTTTCCCCGATTTTTGTGAATGGAGCTCTGCGCTGGGGCACGCCCGCCAATCACAGCTCGCTTCGGCCGTCACCCATTGACGAGTGGGCGTGGCTTGCACCCTGGGGGACCAATCAGCTCGCAGCGCTCTGCCATTCATGMGGAGCCGAGCTCCCATTCATAAAAAAAAATAAATGGAAAATCGCCCGAAGTTCATTCAAGAGAGGCTGCAGGGGCGCTCCGGGAGCCCGAACGCTCAGATTCCCACCCGATCGGGCCTGCCCGTTCTCACCCACATCGCAGTCGTTTTCAAACCGTCTGCAGTCTTTTTCAAACTCTCTGCAGTCATTTTCAACCCTCTTTGCAGTAATTTTCAAACCCTCTTTGCAGTAATTTTCAAACTCTCTGCAGTCATTTTCAACCCTCTCTGCAGTAATTTTCAAACTCCCTTTGCAGTAATTTTCAAACACTCTTAGCGTACGTTCCGTTCTGTTCTCAGGAAGTTTCAACAAGAGCTGGGAGAAATCTTACACATCCAGCTGGAGCGAAAATAACTTAAGCCCTGCCTATCAAAATCGCTTTTACTCATTCAAATATTAAGGAACAAGAACATAAAAAAACCAACCAAAAATCTAATCTTGGGATTTGCACAGCAATAAAAGTTTGTTTGTTTTCCAGATGCCAGATGCTGTCTCCTGGGCCATGTTCATGCATCAAGTTTTTTGTTTTGGGGTTCTCCCCCCCCCAAATTTCTCCATTAAAATGCCAATTTTTTTTTATCATTTATTAATCCTCTTTATCCTCAAAAAAAATATTAGTGGCAAGCAGGATCTGGTTCTAATAGGACAATCACTCATGTTTTGCACTTTTGCCTATGTGATACGTATCCTGTGTCCACCCCTAAGATTTCACAGCTCCCATCCACTGTACAGGTTTGAGAAAGCCCAACCCTGAATTTCAGACGCRTCCCCTGCAGCCCGCAGCAGCTGTGGTCGGTGTGATGTAAAACTCTCAGACGTAGATGCTGACACAGACAGGATCAAATTACRAATGTCTTAGAAAGCGAAACGCTGAAAGTTAGGAAAAAAAACCTCTCTGTGCTGTAGAACGGAGCATGGGCAGACCTGCGGTTTTAAAAAATAATAATAAAGAGCTGCATGAAGAGCTCGGGTTTCTTAACGTCTGAAATCAGCCCAGCTGCTCTTCAATACCCTGTTGTTCCTTGAACAGGAATATCCTGGATAAGGTGCTGAGTCCAGGAATTGYATATTGTTACCAGCCGTGGTGAGGTGATGTAATTCCTAAGGAAACACAGAAATCCTGACCCTTAAACAGCCACCAAGCACTCTGAGAGCTCCAGGCAGTGTGCAGAGGAGAGGCTGGGCATTGCACGGTGGTTGTTTCACCAGGGAAATCACCCCGGCTGTGTTTATGCTTCTTTTCAGTCGCAATCACACAACACTGGGCTGAACTTGGACATGGAGAGTCTGAGGGAGGGTCAAGCCCTTGTGACCCTTCCATCCCAGCTTTGCTGCATGCTCTGGGCACTGCAGCAGCCTCTTCYTCTTGTCCAGCCTGTGGGATTTTCAGCCTCTGCAGCTGCTGAGTCAGTGGGCATTTTTAGGGTTTTTTTTTCCCCCATTTTTACCCCAAAATTCAGGCTCTATACCCACCTCCAGAGGTGTCCCCTTCCAAAGATGGGTGATCTCCCATCCAGTCTGACTTGGGCCAGAATCCCAATGAGGATTTTCCGAATCAACAAAACTGCTAGAGGAGTGTGAGGCTTAATAGTCAAYCATCTGACTGCAGAGGGGTGCTGGGCAGGAGCAGAAAATGCCAATTTTAACTGGGTAAAATGCTGKTTACTCTGCAATCCCTTCCTCAAGTGTCCATACTGAGCATTCAGCTGCTGTGGCTGTTACTGACAATACTGGAACACGATCATGAGGTTTCCCCTAAACCTTTTTTCCCTTCAGGAATTAAAACACCCAGTTCTTGGCCTTTCCTCAT